ACGTTTTCTCTGTTTCCCTGTAATTGAAAGATTTAAAACATTTAGATTTAAAGATTTATATACATAAAACGAATATAATTTCAAACATACCTTGGATCAGAATCTATATCCTTTTTAAAACTTAGAGGTAATATTTTTGGTTGATGACTAAATTAAAATGAATTCTTCGGAAAAACGTTTATGACATAGCAGTAGTGTTTTAGAATAGATTGTATAAAATCTACAGGATTTTAAATAAATATTAATGATATACTACTATCAGAGTTTAAACTACGTGCTCTACCTGCTATATTTATATAGGGCACAAGTGTTGTTCAAAACACAAAAGTGACAGGACCACACACATTGGTCAACTGCACGAGTGGAATCAAAATAATCTGAACAATGAACCTGTCACACCTTCTGGTTACAATAGATTCAGTGACATCTAACGTATGGCTAAAGCTAAATACCACACACCTCTCTTTCTCTGGTGGAATTAAATCTCAAAGAGGAAGATAATAAATATAGAGTGGGTTGAAATTAGTGTGAGTATATACGACTACACATTGTTAAAGCAAAGTTTTCCTATAAAAACTATATTCTACAGTGTTTTATTGTGCTTTTAGAATGTCCATTTCTTTAAAACCGAGTGGGGTTAGTGATGCAAAAACAAATCATTTGCAACCTAAGTAACATAGCTAGGAAAGATCATAGAATTTTAGGTTTTTTCAGTATATTCTACTAAAAATGCATAACTAGAGAATTATTGAACCAACATTGTTAGTTGTACACAATATTGTATAAAATTCACTACGCAAAAATTTTATAAAAGTATAGATTTAGACTCTGGTAAATTAAGCTTAAGATATAACTTAGAGTAAAAAATTGTACTTACCTTTATCCAACTTCTTTTGACCGGGTTTTTTTCAATAGTTGAATAACTGATTTTGAGACTTGTTTTATAACCGTAAGACTATATCGCCTTGTTAACTATTAACGGACAGTGCATGAAATCAAACAGGCATTACGACCTCTTAAATCAATTAGTACATTTAATACAAATTTTGGTTAATTTTAACTTTTCATTTAACTATTCACAAATCCATCACTCTACGCCATTCAAACTTGTAATACTTGTGGTAATTTTCTGTTTTAATATATATATTTTTGTTTTTAGCGAATTTCCCTATAGGGAAGTAGCTATTACCGTAGGTGGCACGGTAAGACCTAGACCCGGGACCGATTTACTTTTTCATTTTGATGTCCCCCGAGGCCAAAAACACCATTCGTTCAAATTTTTATATATGTATATATATATATATATATACTTATATATATATACGTCCGTGAACGCGATAACTTGAGTAATTTTTGTCCGATTTTGATGAAACTTGGTTTAAAGGTGTAAAGCGGGATAAACTTGAATGAGTTCGCGAACCAGCACGATCGGACCATGGAAACGGGGCTTTACGGGGGGTTTTATGGGGTAAAAATTGGTTTTTCTCACTTTTGACCCTCAAAACACAAAATTTCCTGATTTCTCTTTAGACTTTTTTAAAGAGCTTAAAAAAACAAATAATTTAGTATATAAAAGTATTTTTGTTCGATTATTAGTAACGGAGAAAATTAAAAAAATTGTAAATTTAAAATTCCCATGGTATTCTTATGGAGAATATTGTCAAATGTTGTAGTTTGCTTGTTTATTTATGGATATATTTTGATCAAACTTGGCAAATTTATTTATTTTGTACTAAGCTATCAATATTTTATTCAAAAACACACTTTATTAGTTTCCTTGTAGCAGCAAACCTAGGTACTCGTTAAACCTAATGTTATTAAAATATATTTAACTGAAAATCAATTCAGACAAATGGAAATTCGCTTAGTCGGCAGGTTTGCTGCGGCGGGGGTATTCTTGTATACGATATTTGCTCAGCGCCAACTTAATGATTACGAGTGCTGACTCGGTATCAGCTGTGCTAGCAGATGACTCATGACGTCATCAGTAATGTCATGACGTCAGTAACTCCAAAATACTGAAGATAGAGGGAAGTATTCGAAACGTACAATTTTGAATATATGTTTTGTTCTGCTTGTACTTTTCCTGCACTGTACAATCCCAGGGACTAATGATTTTCCTAAGTGTAAAATGTTTACCAGGTATTTAATGCTACCTTCATTGATAATTCTTGTTAAAATCTGTAGAGGTTCTTCCACATTGTTCCAATTTTATTTTATATAAACATATTGATCATCTGCAAAACATTTTTAGGGGTTCCCCGTCTATAATAGTGTGGCCTACATTTTGACGTAGTGTTTCATTTGCGTTGTTTTAAAGAACTTAACTTAACTTAGTAAAAAAAAAAAATAACAAACTATTGTTTCTGTCTGGTATCAAACCTTCATATGAATATCAAACTGAATTATTGCACCAATAAATACAAAGTCAAAACGATTACACTCAACCGTAACCAAACCAGGCATGAGAATTTCTTTAGTAGGTATCTTTAGGTACATTGGAATAGAAAAACATTTTTTTTTGCCTCTGGCCAGTTGAGCAACAATAATGTAATTTTTTTGTTAGGGTGCCACTCCGTTCCAGGTGTAGGTCAAGGTCCTAAAAGAAAAAAAAACCTCCAAAGATTTTGCAAAGTAAGGCAGAATTGAAAACTTACTATAACACGATTTAAATCATTTATTCCTGATCCAAAAACAAAGATAAACATAGTAAAAGTAACAAAACTTCCTAGAAGTAATGTAACATCGAAAGCTTGATTTTGATATGTTGATATGTGTGTACGTTAAAGAGATAATTTAATCTTTTTTCGTTATCTTTAGGATTTAGACATATTTGGATCCGTACGTTTTATTCGTAGCCCATAGTATAAGAGAACTAGCAATTGATTATAGATTTATACTCGATCAGTTATGAAAAACATCAAAAGGCACTCAACGTAAAATGGAATGAAAATATAGCATAAAATTGTCTTCGTGTGATCGATAGGCTTGAAAAGCAATTGTGTGTTTAATTTATAGTTCCTAAAAATTGTATAATTACAAATCTATGTTCACCACATTACAGTGGCGTAAGCCAAAATTGTACTGCTATAAACACAAAGGACTCATATTCAGTGGTAAGGTTATTTTAGTCACAGTTGGTACTCCTGGAGATGACCAATTAACTGTAACATTGCAGCCAACCTCACAACACTGTTGCTAATTACTTGACTAAAGTGATTAGCTTTGACACTGAGCTGTCTGTGTCATAGTTGTGTCACAATGAGCTCAAGTGTCACCAACAATTAGAAGCTGTATTGTGTATAATCAAGTAGCAAATTCCTGTGTGAATTGATACAATCAAGCTACTTGATAATTGCTTTGTGGTAGGTGGCTGCTAACCATGTTTAATTAAATGAGCAACATACACTTAAAAATCTTGAAAACCGGATGAAATTAAGAGATAGGATAACTTCATGTACTAGAGTTATATTCACAAAAACCCAAGGTTTTTCACAAATCTTTTCTTATGCGCTCAATAAAAACGGTAACATTAGATAAACTGTTACAGTAGCGTTATTTTTAAACATTTATTTTATTGATACTATTTTTTTTCAATGTTGTTTCCTTATCCCTACACTAAAAAAGATTTTCAATTTCATTCGGTTAAGTCTATTAATTTTAGTTCAGTTATTTGGAAACATGTAAAAGAATATGCTGGTCATACTTGTTATTTTGTATTTCATTAATTTACTAAAAAAAAATGACTAGTTATTTTTTAAGATTTCTAAAATTACTAGGACACCCGGAAATTGGAACTTTAAAAAAAAAAATTAAGAATTGTTCCCCGTAATATGTTAGCTTGTAATAAATCAAACAGCCTTTCCCTTTGTATTTAGTAAATGTGGAATACCACCAATCTTAAAACGTGAAAAAAATTATTATTGCTAGCAGTAACGACCATTTCAGGGAAACTAACAATCTGATACTTGATAACACGTTGTCTCCTCCATTTTGAACCAAGTTGGCAAAGTGCGAGATATGTGCGAATAGCCATTTCAACATTCTTGAGTGCTAGGACAATAGCTTCTTGCAGAGAAACTATCTCAAGTAGTCTCCACTATAAATTATAGGATTCAACTAAACCAGATGCTATCGTGGTTGAAACTTGAAAATTACTGTTGTTCAAAGTATAATCCTAGATTTATCTTAATTTATTTACTCACAATAACATTACAACTTTTAGATACTGACTAGCCAACACGGGAATACTCCAACAAAATAACGTATAAATACAGTATTGTTTTGTGGGACTTATTAGCTATTTTTTTAACAACCTGTTTCAATAACTCGATAAAAAGTATGGATGTATCAAATCTTCATCAAATTAAGATTGCATTTTCTAAGGTCCTTACACCGAAGCTCAAGTGAGATATCTTTTCGGCCTGCATGGCATTTTCGTCCATTGATATTTGCTAGGGAGGGGGGGGGGGTTGGCCCCTCTTATAGTGCGCTATGGTGATGGCTTATGGTTAACCACTATTTTATATTTTGCAGTAAAAACATCGAATTAACAAAGCAAAGCTTTAAACATTTTCTTGGGAAGACTCCTAGACCCCCCTCTATTGGGGGGGGGGGGGGGGTTATTCCACACCCCTTAGCCCCCCTAATGTAAAAAGTTAGATGGACGCCCATGCTGTATGGATCTACCAATCTAAGAAATTTCGTCATGTCAAACACAAAATGTGTTATGAGTTGAATCATAACTTATTTTTTCTAAAAGTGACAACAAAAGAGATTTTTTTTAATTTAAGGATCCTTTAAAACTGTATTTCACCACACTTAAAACTATTTGTTTTTCATAATCGTTGTTGTAAAAATATTGAGTAGGCCTAGCTAAGAATGAATTTGGAAAATATTATATTAGTAATAAGCACCCAAATACTTATTTACTATGCATATTTTTGTGCTAACTGTATTTACTTGTCTACTTTAAGGACAAAGGTATGAACGTAAACAGATTTACCTTTATTTGGAAATATATTTATTCAAAACAAATTTGTGATCAATTCTTGGTACAATGTTCAGGCAATAACCAGTTACTCGGTTACTTACTTATGGTAAACAAATACGGTTCTCATTCGTACTCAAATAGTTTCTACAAATGTGTCTTAACCTCAGCTAAACTTAGTGTTTCTTATCGTATTGTATGTGCTTAACGATAAAGGCTAAATTTACAATCGAATTATCGTAATATAAATATAAAAATTTTAACCGGCGAAGGGATTTTGTCTGCCAAGCATTGACTAACAAAAAATAAATAATCTATTGTCCTAAGAAAGTATGGGGGATAAAAAGTGAATCGGCACGAGTGTCATTTCACTGTAAAATATTATTGTCTGTATTTACTAGGCTAACTACGTAGCTAAAAGCAAGGTATAAGAAAAATAGTGGGGAGGGGGTTTACCTTTGCGGTTTTTAGCTGATAGCGAACGATTTGTAAAGATTATTATAATACAATAACAAACTTAACAACACGCAGATTCGCTAGTATGGGTAAATACACAGTTACAAGGGGAAATCAAAACACTAGCTCAATAAACAATTCAAACATAGAACTGTAAAGAAGTATGGTTATAATTAAAAGTACTTTTTGAATAAAAAATTCAATCCCACTATTATATCAGTTAAACTCTGAAGTACAAATACTCTTACTGTTACAAGGCCTACAATATTTCAAGTACCAAAGCAGGTTAAAACATTCCTGACATGTATTTTAGATTACACAATCGATTTAAAACTCTCTACCGTAGCTTGATAGAATCTAGTCTAAAAAACTTAGTTTTGGAAAGTTTTTGAATTTCAGAGCATTCTGTAACGAACACATTTACAGGCACTTACATCTGTAGAACGGTAACTTAACCTATCTCAGTGTCTACTTACACTAGAAAATAAATCACTAAGCTGCGGCCAAACTATTAATTCGGACAATTCCAGAAAGATTATCATGGCGCAACATAACTTCAGCGTGATATGTTCTAGCCTAAACATCACCAAACATTAAGCTCTAACTGTACAGCGGAACAAAAGTTGCATTATAGTAATTTACAATTTGTCTCAAAGCAGGGGAGAAACATTGATTGAAAACACAGATGTAATCTTCCATTGTTCACGTCACTACACTATCGATACATAAAACACTGTCGTGTCGAGTCTGTGGATTCAATTAGTGTTTCAGAGAAATTTCAAGGCACAATATCTGGGAAAGAATAGTGGTTGAAGGCATAGGAGAGGCGCTGGGCCCCAGAGGGAACACAAACAGTCTAACAGCCTGCAAGCCTGGACATGTTTCAACTCAGCTCGCCAGCAGTTGGTGGCTTGGAGAAAGTAAAATGTGTTTCACAAAGTGCTTTTTTTTCAAAACAAAATACATTAAAACATATAAAATTGACTGTTTAAACATAATATTAAACAAATACGTTGTGAATTGCAAAAATATAAAAATTTTATTGGGTTTGTCAATAAAGTGTCAAAATGATTTGTCTCCGTCAGATTTTCTATGCTTCTATTTACAATTCCGGAAACGTCAACAATATCTTGTTAATTTAACTGAAACTGAAGAAGGGATTCTAGAGAATATAATACGTCAAAGTTGAAACATGTTCAGACATAAAATACAATCCCAGAAACAACCAACAACACTGTACAACATCATTACAATCACAGATACAACATCTGGCTTTACATTTCATCTAATCTGGTAGTGAAAATTTTAAAATTGTCTTTATGATTACTTTATTTATGATTGGATACATCTTTCATAGCTCATGTAGAACTCGTAGCAAATTTTCAATGACAGTTTAGGTGAAAACATTCTACTTTAGAGCAATGGTAAACCAATCAGCTGATTTTCATTGCCTAAATAGTTGCCCACTAAGCACAATAATGTTTTTTTACAATTTAAATTGTGTTTTTAATATTTTACAATAAAATAATGTGAACAAAAGTTGACTTTAACTAGCTTTTTGAATTATAATGAAAAGTATCGATCGTAACTTGTACCAAATGTGCTTTTCCATTCGGCCAATATCTGAAAGTCACAAGTACTCACATCTCAATAAAAATTTGTGTTTCTATGCAAAAGTCGAGCCCAACTTTGAGCCAATTAAACATTTTTTCTAACCAAGTTTTGAATTTCACTATTAGTATCCTTTGAAGTTTGGAAAAGATACTAAAAAGTAAACAATTGTTTTAAAACTATGTTTATTTTTATTTTATAAAATTAATTTGTTGATAGAATTAGAATCATTTCATCTAATGTACATTAGAATTGTCTTCTACTTAAAAAAAGAATTAAATGAATAGTAACAAAGCTTCTATTATGAATGGATAAAACATATTCATGATATTTTCTTACTATAAGAATCGTTTCTCCTTGTGTGTAGACCATAAGCAAATGTACAGTGTTCAAAACCTTATAGCCATCTTATCCTTACATCTATACAATTCTTGAAGCCTCTTGTAGGGAATTTAGGTGTCTTCATTGTAAAAATGCTAGTTAAAATATAATTATGTTTAGTCTATCTTCAAACTAAATTATCAATCATTTTTTTTAAAGTGGGAAGTATTAAAATTAAAATTACAAAAACTTGATTTCTATTTCAAAATAATCTGTACAAGAGGCACCAGAATTGGCCAACCCTCTAAGAAAAATGTTAACTACTTAACAAGCACTATTTCCTAAGTGATAATGTCTTTTGTCTTAAAACGTGACACCGGATCATTCCAGGTCCTTAAGCTCAAGTTCAGTTTTAAACATAAATAGACAGAAAATACAAAACAATGAACAACAGGAAATGTTTAATCAAAAGGAAACAACTAAAAGAATGAAAACAAACAATCACACTTGGTTATAAGAGCCAGGGTTTGTTCAAAAGGAAAATCAAGAAACAGTGGGGAGAATTAGGTGTGTAGGTAGGATTTACACAATTTGGGATCAACGTTAAAGTAACAGAAATCAATGTTTCCATTTAGGATAGTAGCAAAATGTTAAGGTGTTTTGAAATATAAACTTAAGGTAAAATAATTGACTATGTAAGGCATCATTACTGAATTATTTACATGCCTTCTACTCTTAAATCTTCTAAGCTTTAATGGTTCAAAAGAAATCATAAACGAAATTTAACTTAACCTGGCTCTTCTTTTAGGTCCTAATTATGAAATTAAAATAGAAATTCCAATAGGAAGACAAAAACAAACAATCCTAAAGGTGTGGTTGGACCCTTGGTTTTGTCCATTGGACTGGCTTAGTCTTCTGTATCAACCCAGTCGATACGGGCCCATTCTGGTAGTTCCGTCTGGTAACTCCAACCCGGCCCCTGAAAGCAGAAAAAAGTCTAGGATTTTAAACCTTTTAAAATTTAAATACAGTAAGAAATGAAAGTATTCTACAAGTTTATTGTTTGACATTGATAGTAGGTTTATAATAATAATGCATGTTTTGAAGTCTAACAAATAGATTCGTATTAATATATAGGCTTAGAGTAAAACTAAAAAAATATCCATTGTCTCGAAAAATGATTTTAAAAACTCCACAGTGGTGAAGACAGGTTTTGGAAAAGATTTGCTAAACCAAAATTAGCACTTACTCCCTTTGGTAAAAGCACCCTATGTAGCACCCTTTGGTAAAAAAACGAAAAAGCAGTGCTTAAAACAAGATTCACCTAATCTGTTATCTCCTTACACTTCGTTACTACTCTTATTTTACCTAAACTCCTAAACTACCTTATGTTTGATCGTACATAGTAAAAATGTGAGAAAATTCTCACCAATAAGATAAAATAAAAAAATGTACACACAAAAACATAACAGAACTACTAGTAAAAAAGATTAAAAGATAGAAACCAGTCAAAGTTTAAAGTTTTATTTTGATTAAAACACTTTTACATATTAATTTTAAGAATTTGGAATGCTCACCCTGTACTTCCATGCGTGAAGGTACATCACTAGATCCCGAGGTTTTGGGTCTCTGTATTTCACTTTGCACTCGTAACAATGAGGGTCGGAGGTCAGCTTGTCCGGGTGGAAGGACAAGTCGGGCGCGTCCTGACCTGTCTGTGTGGCCACGGTGACCTTGGCGGAGGCGGCGGCAACCAGCGGGGGTGGATGTGGCGGGGGTGGGGGCGGTAGACTGGGCGAACCTTCCCGGCTCAGCCCTCCTGGGAAAAATCTTGGGTTGAATAAACAAAACCTATTCAGGACCAGTTTATAAATGATGCACTAATTGGCATTTTCACCAAATTCGAATTGGTCCTGACCTTATATCGTGTTAATAATCCCTCTGTTGTTTTAAAGGTCAACGAGAAAATATATTGCCTAATTTTTTTAGGAGGAAAATACTTTTTCATAGAGCAACATGATTTTACTACTGACAGGATGATAACATAGAAAAATTGTAATTGGTGATTGATAAAGATTGAGCCTAGACTACATGAAAGAACCGCCTCACTTATACTAAACCAGTAAATTCAGCACAAAGGTGATGCCAGGGGGTTAAATAGTGGAGACAGTCTGTGGCTTTAAAATTTCACTTTTGTTAGTCAATAGATTAATTTATCACAGACAGAAACTAAAAGAAAGAATTTAATACGTTTTTCATCATATACAGGGTGTCACAAAAAAGTGTGATGGGGTATACAGGACCTAATTCTACATGCAAAAATAAGTCAAAAATGAGGAATAATTTTTTTTGGATTTCGGCTTAGTTTAGCCGTAATCCGCCATTTTGTTTTTTGGAGAAAATATTTATTATTTCAAAATCCCTTTGAGATATTTTTACGAAACTTGGCAAAATTGTTTACACTATAGTAAGTAACATTTATAAAAAAAAGTTATTTTAACTTTCCAAATTTCAAAATGGCAGCCGTTTGAATTTTTTAATGCCAAATTTCATGAAAACCGGTACCTAAATCAAAATTTTGTAAGATACAAAAGTGTAAGTATTTATTTATTGTATTTAACAAAACAAAAATTAATAAAATCGGTTAATAAATAAAGAAGCTGTGTTTATTTTAGTAATTTAGACTGAAATTACTTAATACGTTACATAAATTATTACATTACATTTAATACATTTTAATATTAATAATTTCAGTCTATATTACTAAAATAAACACAGCTTCTTTATTTATGAACCGATTTTATTCATTTTTGTTTTGTTGTATTTGTTATAATAAATACTAAAACTTTTTTGTCTTACAAAATTTTGATTTAGGTACCGGTTTTCATGAAATTTGGCATAAAAAATTCAAACGGCCGCCATTTTGAAATTTGAAAAGTTAAAATTATAATTTTTATTTAAATTTTACTTACTATAGTGTAAACAATTTTTTGCCAAGTTTCGTAAAAATATCTCAAAGGGATTTTGAAATGATAATTATTTTCCCCAAAAAACAAAATGGCGGATTACGGCTAAACTAAGCCGAAATCCAAAAATTTTTATGCTTCATTTTTGACTTATTTTTGCATGTAGAATTAGGTCCTGTATAGCCCATCACACTTTTTTGTGACACCCTGTAGAATAGGAAAAATAAATAAATTTGTTGTGGTTGTATCAAGTAAATACCACGTATATTGATGATCCAATTTATGATGATACTAAGTACATTTACATATTTTGTGAACATACCCATTAAACATAATTAATTTTTAAAATTGTAATTTTTCCCAAATTTCAGCTACATTCCTACCTTTGTCTTCCTCATCAAAGTTAAGCAGCGTTGGTTTGAACATGGACAGTTCAGAGTCGCCGTCCATGCCCAGCCAGTTCTCGGCGTTATGGATAGATATCAGGTCTCGGATCAGTTCCTCGTCCGACTTCCCAATGTTTCCTCCTCGTCCCTTCTCGGGGCCGAACACGGTGTGGTTGTACAGGGGGTCGTTCACCACTGGATAGCCTATAAACGTAAATAAACGGGTTTTAGATTGATACAGAAAGAAACCTCCAACAGTTTAAAAGTTAAATTCCTTAACCACAAGTTTTTTCAGCATAGAACCTTAATCTTGCAAGCTGCTCCTAGTACAACTAATGTTTACAGGGTAAAATCAATAATCCAATAACTTAATCACTTAAGCCAAACACATAGATTTATACTTTATATCCATTTACTAGCAGACGTTTCTGTGGACCAAACTATGAAGCAAAGAAACTCATGGTTAACAAAAAAATAAATAAAGGATCTGGAAGAGAAGGCATTATACCCGTTGCATTTCTGGAAGCTGTAAGACTGAGATGGCCAGGATGTGAAAAAAATGGATGAGAAGGCACTGGAACCCAGATATGAATACTGAAATTGTTCAAGGGAGGGGAAGAAGAGAGATAAAAATATTAGAGGATTTTGACGAGGACATGAGAAAATTGAATGTGAGAAGGTGGTAGGAAAAGTTCAAACATGTGGTTTGAATTAGGTCAATCTTAGGATGTAGCACCAAGCAAATTAATGTAAGTGGTAAACCTTTATGGAAGAAGTTGAAAAAATGTTGTATTTTGTATTTTCTTTGACAATCTGAGTAGTCTTACCCAGATACTGCAGATGCACTCTGATCTGATGCATACGTCCAGTATGAGGGAGGCAGAGAACCACGCTGGTGTTGGTCTCAGGATTGTAGCCCAGCTTCTGGAAAGTCGTGTTGCAATCTTTCCCCTTGGGAGAAACTTTACACACACCGATCTTGTAGCTGACCACCTCAATGGGCTCTATGCATTCTATCACCTCACTGAAAACACATTAGTATGTAAGTAAATGCCATTCTACCTTACAGATTAAGTTGCAGCTTATCTATATAATTTGAACAGTGATAGGAAGACATTTTGTCGGTTAATTATCCCCCCATAAATTCATACTATCCACGATCTCAGTTATAGTAAATTGAGATAAAATAAATTTCATCTCAATTTATAACCCAAATGTTTTATAAAATATATAATTTTCCATCTTTTCATTGATAGAAGGAACCCTAAAGTAAATTTAGAGTATTCAAGGCACCTTGTCAAAATTACCCAAAAACTTTGCCTGTTTTAAATATATTTTTGTTCTGGTTAGGTCAGATTATAAGGAGTCTTTGTTTAACTATTCTATTTTTTTTATCTACAAGCCAAATAGGATTGTACATAGATATACTGCATTTGAAGTATATATTGTGATGAAAAAATAAAATAAAAAAATTTTACCTATGAAGTTATTTATTAAATTTAATTAATTGAAACGATTCCCTGTGATCTTCTGTTATACCAACTTCAATAGGTTTTTTTAATAAAATGATCCCTTTATCCAACCAGCGTTGGTATGACGACTTGTTTCGTTCCTTACAACTTCGTCAGGTCATTTTGTATCCAACCACATCATCAATGTATTAATACATTGTGCTATGTCAATAGATTCGTTAAAATACTGTAAAAATCACAATAATTAAAACTCGTCATGTTGTTCAAATAGTTAAAATAGAATATAAAGTGATAAAAATGATTAAAACTGTACAGTCTGGCCAACCCTGTCTTATCACTGCCATTGACTAAATAAAACTGACGGAATCGTGATGTTTATCTTCTTCTCTCCAGTGCCACCTGTTTTTCAGTTTATTTTGTTCTTCTAATTTTAAACTTCTTTGATTTGCAACTTGTCAATATATGTATGAAATATAATATTTGACTGGAAAGAATTCTGATAATTTAATGTGACATGGGTCAAGTTAATTAGCTTTGGTAAATTCTTCTTTAACATCAAGCTTAAAACATTTGGTAATACTTCAACTATTTCCATGTTCTTATCAATAGATGTACAGTTGTGCGATTCCAATATTAACTGTTCGGCATAACTGGATTGCTGATGTTGTGATAATTAATGTATATGTTCTTTAAATCTTTATTTGAAAGATCTTACAGTTTGGCCGATGTAGTACTTTGGATAGTCGTCATACCAACAACTGTGGTTGGATAAGGTATATATTATTGATTTTATCAATAATATATTCCAACCAAGGGTCACAAGGAATAATATATGTTTTTTTATATTCAACACACCATGTTAGGTGAGGTTAGGTTATGTTATTTCGACATTAAAAATACATTTACCTTCATTTAAAATGTTAGGTTAATTAGCCTACTGTGGGTATAACAGAAGAGAACACTATTTCCTTCAATAACATTATCGATCGAAGTTTAAAACAAGAAAAATTAGTTGATGACCAGGACACAGCTGATTCTTTTTGCAGCTGCCTTTGCTATCTCGCTATTTTTGTTACGTCAGCACCACAACACTTGCATTGATTGGCGTTTTCACTTCACTATGACGAAAATTGTAACCTTTTAGATTATCCCTCAAATCCATTATCTAAACATACACCTAGAAAAATACAATACATAAATTATTTCACTCACTCTGGAAACTCCCCCTCCACCCTGCAGATGTATTCCTTCTGCACCTGTCTGTTGCGGATCTGGTGTTCCATTTGTCTCGCCTTCTTCGGCGTCCGTCCGAACAACAGTAGACCACTGGTGAGTCGGTCCAACCGGTGGATCGTCCTTAGGTTTTTCAAGTGATATTCCTTCGCCAGGATAAATACCACGGTGTTGTGACGATATCGCCCACAAGGGTGAACCTGTAATGTGAAACGATCATGGAAAACGTCGTCTACTGTGAATAAAAGAAGTGTCTCAGATTGAATATACATTTCAGAGTTTATATTGTATTCATCCGAAATTGGCCACAAAATTACATCATCTTGTGCTAAAGTTAGAATTTAGCTTCGCACAAAACAACGTTACGGAATTCAAGCGCAATTGATATAAAAACAACACAATTTTGAGTAAAAAGTGTTGGTGATTTTATACTCAATTTGTAATAGGCCTATCATAGAACGATTTTTTTAAGAGCTGTAACCGTGAACTGAGGTTGGTTTAAATTGAAGAATATCATTGATTTTATTGTAACTGGGAACATTTCTAGGGTTTAGACTGTCTTTAGCGATAAGGGTTTGTTAAAGAATAAAATAATCCGCAACAGAAATAAAACATAATTAAACAATTCATTACTTGTATAATTCTGTTATTTTTAATACTATTGAAAAGTTAGGTGCTTTTACGAAATATACTACACAATATTTTGAAAATGGTAAAATATGTGAACACAATGTCTTACGACCTATTAAAGATTAAGTAAAAATTTTATCAACCTATTTGTACAAACAAAGCTAAAAAAATATTAAATAAATCTAAATCCTAAAAGAGAAGAAGAAAAGTAGGCAACCAGAGGCAGAAGCTAGCCAGGTATAAAGCGTGAATGATTAGTCGCAATATGTTATAATAAAATGTGTTAAGGTTTGGCAAGAGCTTAGAACAAAATAAACGCTAGAACTCGCAGTTATTAAGATAATAAAGTTAAGTATTATATCAATTGCGTTGGTGTTATAGAACAAGCGGTTTCCAAGAATCTTATCGTCATCTTTTTTATTCGAGGATGAAAGCAAAAAGCGGCGATTGTGAAAGCTGGAGTATCCTTTGTGATGCGTTTTAATAGATATTAACAATTATATTTTTTATGTAAACATTATTTTATATTTTTAATAGTTGTTTTGATAGTTAGGTTGAGCAATGAGAAATTTTATTATAAATGTACTGTGAAATTTAGTTTTAAGTATAATGCCCGAATGCAGTTGGAAAAAAAGTATGTGTAATTTAGTTTGGAAATAAAAAAAGTTTTTATACTGTACTTTAAAAATATAAGCATATTTCCAAAACATGCTTCCATGTTTGGGGAAATTATATTGATTTCTTGATAACAATAATAACGAAGATATTAAGGTCAATAAATCTTTTGAAATACCTTAAAACGTATTAGGCAAAGCTTATTTTATGAATTAACTCATGAAAATACTTTTTATTAAAGAGAAAATTAAGAAAAGTGGTCCAACGGATAAACTCTTATACAAATGGAAAAAATAACTTTATAGTATCAATTAACGCCAACAAGTAATATAAAACTATGCGAATTATACACGTGATCTATTAATTGAAATATCTGCATCAAAAAACTAAACCTAAACTTCCAACACATCAATCTAATGGACGTACACATTTTGACAAACATATGAACGATTAGACTCAGGTCACTGACTATAGAGAAGTTTTTACTTTCTCTATAGTCTGTGCTCAGGTTGTTAGTAGGGTTGGTGTGAAGGAGCCGTTACACTTACCGGCAATGAACAGGGTTTGTCCAAGACCACTATGTCATCGTCTACATGGACCAATTTCAAGGGCTTAGCTAACACAGGCGTCTCGTGTCTGCAATACGTCACAGACATGCAATCTACGTGATCTTCACGTCGTCAACAAACCCACATGAGTCAAGCACTGGATTGTCTTGTGTACACGGATATTAGAACATGAACGGTGGGTCGTAAACGTAAACAAATGACGTCACTGGTCACGTAAACATGTTTGTTATGGAATCCAAACGTCAAAATCAGCTGGTGCGGTTATTAGTTTATTTGGGCCAATGACGTCATTCGTGTCTATGATTCTTATAAGCAAAAATTCGTGTAATTGGTCCTACAAAATATTTGAAGCGGTAGGAAAACTTAAGACAACATGCTAAGATTCAAGTTACAAGCATCTGTCAAAATCGTATCTAAAATATTGTTTAAACGTAACTAATTTAAAAAAAAAAAAAAAAAAACTATTTAGAGAAGGAAAACTGATAGGTGAAAAAAATCCTCTTTCAGTTTACTTCAGCTTATATCAGTAGTACATAAAAATCGGATGATATTTACACTAAACAACATTCGGTAATTTATTTGTTCATAAGCAAGATGTTACTACCCAAAATATTCCCACTTTTTTATATTTGCATCCCTTAATTTGGTCAGCAGAATATTCCGTTTTGGTTTGAAAATGTTTGGTTTGTTCTTGAAAACTATTTCCATTGCTCTTATTTTCCTACGAATTGGCAGTCTAAAAAAAACTGTATTCAATTGTCACTAGTCTTATGATTTCAAAGTAACAATCCAGTACTTTACTCATATCACTGACAACACTAAAACAACATCGAATAAATTTCCTGTGCCAGTACCAGGACACAGTGAAGCTCCTTAAGGAGCCTAAATTTTATGTTTACTCACTTTTAGTTAAAAACCCGGAACTAACTAATACTTTTGTGTCCATACATAGTTTGTTAGTCACAATATCATTGGAGGGACACATTTAGAGGAGTTTGAAACACTAAACGTACGAACAAAACATTTACTAGGTTTGTACAGTACATGTTGCGGGTTTGAGGTTGGCGGGTTTAAATGGTTTTTACTACACATGATAAGTTTTTTACCGTGTAACATGTTTCAACCTGAAAGGCTGTATCTCTGGGGTAGGGGTAGGCCATATAAATTGATCACATTCACCCAAACTAGTATTGCAAAAGCTAATGCATGTGCTTCTATAGGGGAAAGCAAGTGTACAAAACAAAAGGAAAAGACTCAACATTCAACGGCACACAGTTCTAAAGCAATGATGGTTAGTTTTTGCAGACAATTTATGTTGTAATTAATTGACAAAAATGTGAAAAGTCGGAGAATTTTCTCTCAACATTTTTATAAATAACAAAACCAACCCCTAAACTTTAACTCATCCTTAGATATTCAGGATTTAAGTTTAAAAAAAAAAAAATTGTTTTGTAAAGTTAATATTTAATTTAAATAGTTATTAACGTAATAAATCAATAAAATAAACAATTTTAAAACCAACGTTGTTTTTCTAAGAAAATTCGTCTGATTAAACTAAGTTTCTATTTTAACAAATAACATGTATTAATTTCCATTGCAATTTCACTTGGTAAATTCAAAGCCGCCCAAAACCCGAGTCAAACAACACATACGCATCCAGCCATGGGCGACTAAACATCTAGAATAATAAACAACGTTAATTATGTCAACTAAGTTTCCAAAAGATAACTCACAAGACTTCCAACCCTAAACAGTAGTTTTCAAAAATACCCATGCTGCAGCAAACCTGCAGACTTAGCGAATTTCCATCTGCCTGATTGGATTTAAACTAAAATGTCTCCTTAAAAATGTCACATTTATTCCATATTTTAACGAATGAGTACTAAGGTTTGCTGCAACAGGGAGGGTAAACAAGTTTTTTAATGTAAAATATTAAAAGGGACTGTGGTTTAGTAAGAAATTAATGCATTTTCGAAATTTGATCAAAATATTAAATATCTCGTCTTACACCTTTAAACCAAATTTTATCAAAATCGGACAAAAATTACTCAAGTTGTCGTGCGGATGGACATATATATATATATATAGATATATACAAATTTGAACAAATGGTGTTTTTGGCCTCTGGGGACATCAAAATGAAAAAGTAAATCGGTCCCGGGCTTAAGTCTTACCATGAGACCTACGGTAATAGCTACTTCCCTATAGGGAAATTCGCTATCAGTTGCCCCGGATAACACTGTTACAAGTTAGACAGAACTAGAAGTGTTAATTACACACAGGTTAGATGTTAGAGAGAAGATTATGTACAAAAGAGTGGGGATGTTCATGCAGAGGGATGTATGGCGTCTCGGTGCCACTTACGGGGATGGAGGCTGGTTTGTTAACGACCACAACATCTTCGTCCATGTGTACAATGGCGATAGGGTCGGCCGTCACTGGCACCTCATGTCTGAAACATACACTCATGCTGCTACTACACGCTCTCTGACAAACCAGAGATGGATTATAGACCCATAAAACTGTCTTTAGAAATCGAGTGGCTCTATTTCAGTGGTTCACTTTAAATTGAGTTGCTTCCTCTGTCTCCTGATTTGAAGATGAGGGATACTCAATCTTGCGAGTGTCATCGGGTTGCTTCCGTATCGCAGTTCGTCATTCTGAACATAAGGAAAACCCGATGTCACAGATGGGCAAGGGAAACTTGATTATTAAAATCTTTCTATGGACCATCTACCATCACAACTTCATTTCAACATCTTGCCTATCACTGATACAGGACAACCACTCGATATAAATTTACTGAAACCCATCGTAAGCTATGTTTGAGCTACTGTCGTTTATTACAAGCACCAAAGCTATTTCGAACTGCATCCACTTGATCTAGTAGTTTCAAATGCATTTCATTGAAAAAATGTATTATTTAGGAGGTACTACAATTTGATAATCTAAAGTCACAAACACAAATGTTTCCAAAATACGTCAATCGAAAACATTTATGTGCAGAATATTTTTGATAGTTTTATGTAAAAAGTTTATAACCCATCTCTATCGGTAGCAAACTATGCAACCTTGATTAATGTACTTGTGCAAGTAAGTATCATATATTGAAAAAATGCATATACTGTTAATAGTATTTTTGTAATTAAAAAATATTAATGGTGACCTCTAAATTGTACATAAATTTTTAAAGTTTCCACAACCGTTTTGCCAAAAGAATGTGCCATTAATATTTTGATAAGACTCAAACACAAAACGGTAAAACTACAAACCATCTGCAATGGAAAATAAATAAGAAAAAAAGTGAACTTCAAATTATGATCACAACCAGAGAAAAAAACACTAAGTCAAGTTTGTTAGTGACATAACTATAAATGTACGTAATACAATAACACTGGCATTTATGAATATTATTGATAGACTAAATACTACACAAAACATGGCCTGAAAAAGGTATACTAAATAATTTTCAAATAACAGTTTTTATACGAGTATTTTTAACTGTATTCCTTAGAGCTATTTACAGATGAAATTCCTGCTACCGTTACATCTGCAATTTAAAGGTAGATGTTAGAAGATGTACTGCATTATAACAATGCGTTAAATTTCTCAACTAAAAACACGCGAGTTAAATTAAATGTATTAACAAACTCAATTAATAGTTAATAAATATGACCGGTGAGTCGAATATTTAAAAAATAACTAAATAAAACGCCCTGCTATTTTATATCTCTAAATGTTATTTAATAACCGTATTGCTTTATTTGTTATTTTGAATTTCATGCAAAATGCATCCTCACACCGTGCGAAAAATTGTAGTTAATTAAATATTTGTAACATACAATATGCTTAAAGAGACCAGTTTCAATGATAAGGACGGTTTTAAATTATATAACTGAAATATCTGTTTTTATATTCATGTTTAGTTTACATAATATTTCTTAACATAAAAACATTCTATGTACGATATTAGTAAAACTTAATTTGATTATCTGTGAGTAAAAAAATCACTTTCTTTACCCCTTAAAATATTTTAAAATACCATTTCAGCATTCATTCACGAATATGTAAAAAAATAACACATATGTAATATTTTTATTATATATTATAATATGTAATATAATTACCTCACATGAGATAATAAGGTTATATATTTTTAAATATAGTAAAGGTTTGCGTTCTAAAGACAGAGAAAAAAGAAGCAGTCTAGGCACTTGTGGTTTAACTTTCACTTAAAAATAAAATTCTTTTAAGCTTCAATTGAATGAGTTATTTACATCTGCCCATAATAATAGCAATATTGGATTTGTATAAGACATTTTGAAAAAAAAATTCCCAAACATGTGATTGGAATTTGAATGTAGATCCAAATGTACTTTTGGGAATCAATCCAGCTATGATTCGTAGAAGGAAAATAGTTTTTTTTATTAAAATAAGCATTATTAGCATTAAACAATGTAATAAAAATATAAAGCAATTGGTGGAATTTTAAACGAAAGTAGTTTAAGAGTATTACAGATTTAATTATCGAACCCCCGAAAAAGGTGAATGAGCGCAAACTTGTGATGTTTACATAAATCAGTTTAGTATTTTAATAGATTTTAAGGGGTTTTGACAGGGTCTTCGACCCAAGATGTTTTCGATTTATTGTTAGAAACCGGAAACAAAAGTTTAATAACAAATAATATACGAACGCTTTGAAAAAATTACCGCACTTCTTTTTAATGAGCCAGTAAAAATTGGTTACAAATGAAAAATGAACTGAAAACTAATTTTATGTGGAAAGATTACACCCATCTCCAAAGTGCCACTTCTTTACTCTCTGAACCACGCCACACTATGAAATGCCGAGACAATGTGCATTAGAACATTGCCAATTTGATTACATTACTAGTTAAAGGGACTCACCTGTGGACAATGTTGGCCAGAAGATCGTTGTGTTTCAATCTGTAGTCAATGTCCACCTTCTCATAGTTCACTGTCAGCGAACCAGTCTTTATACACCGCTCCTGGAACGACAGTAATATTGAAACTGATTGTAGTAACACAGAAATTATAATGAAAAAGTGGTGTTTACAAATAACGCGTCAACAGTTCCAATGCTCGGAACGAAAGACTGAAGTCCCGGAAAAGCACAAATGGGATCATGGTCACTGAAACGCCAGGAAAAAGAAGCATTTCCAAAAGTAAAAAGCAGAATATCATCACAACTTCTTACTTTTTTAAACTGCGGACTATGTACAACAAAAAAAGGACCATAGACCAAAATAGTAACTGCGTTGTTGTTGTTTGTTGTTGTTGTTGTTATTTCTATTGTTTATGTAGAGTACCAAACGTTTTAATACAATTCAAATTACATAGGAAAAGTATTCTTGGGACAGCTCTGAAAAACTACTGAATATGACACCCCAAAGTATAAATCCCTTGTAAAAAATAGTTACAGCCAACTAAATGTTTCTGCATTCCACGTGATTTTCAGCGAATTAGGCAAATTATGCAATGAGAAAACGCCAAAAAATTATGTGGATCCTCATTATTTTGTGAATAATACTCTCATACTTTGTATTATCGACCAATGTAAATATTTAGCCTAATTTGACAATGCCTATCTCAATGTATTTGATCAACGGCAATAAAGATTCTGATTCTGATTCTGATTTTGATTAGTGAAAAACTATTGAAAGGTCTTCGTGAAAGAGCAATAACAGTGAAAGCTAAAAGCCTTCTCATCTGGTACGTTTTAGGATAACATCCTGGAAATTACGTTATTGGTAGCTGTTAATGGAAGTCAGAAGATCCATTAATTATCAATATGAAGGGATATAGTAGAAACAGTTTGTTATGTACTTACATACTCCTCGGCGGGGTGAGCCCTGAACTCTCTCGCGAACACGTCGAGGATCTTTTCACCTACCCAGCGGCCTTTGGTGAACGTTGTGAACGTGAAGTAGTATGGGTATACCTTCCGTAGACCTGTAACAGCAGATTGATGGTGAAAATATAATAACTTTGTAAATGAACTGATACTGGACGCAAATACTCAACAGCGATTAAGTTATTTAACCAACAATACTCATACAGTAACTCAATAGCTTATTTATTTAGCCAATTTCACAATAAAGTTGCATTGTCCAAGTAAACTTTACTAAGATTATCTGACAACGAAATTGTTAAATATAAAATTTGAATTCATTGGGACTATCTGTCTCAAAGAATTTCAATTTCAAAATAAACCCAAAGCGAGAAATCCACGGACATTGCAGTAGCCTTTACTCTCGAGAAATTACTTTTAAGTGCCTTTTAAAGCATATCCACTATACAGAATAGCTTAACAAGCTGAAAAAATACGGTGAGGCCATAACCGTTTCGTATAACCGAGTTTCTGGATTATCAATGTAGTATCTGTAAGGTAGGGAAGGTGTTAGTAAATAGTTTTTTTTGTACCTGATGAATCAGTTGGTCCTTCGTAAGTCGGGTTAAAATACCCAAATATGTAAGGTTAATAGAACCTACATTTGAACCTAGGGACATAGCAGGGTTTTGACCTAGGGGGGGGGGGGGTGGTCTTGTCCTAGTATATATCTAACTTAACAATACAATTTTACAGATATTACTAATTCATCGGTTATTTCTTAGCTTAGTGGAAGATTTATTCATAATTTAAATGGGGCTATAGAGTGATGCTTTTCTATGCGTGTAACGGTTATGGCCTCTACCAGATTTGTTCAGCTAGTTGAGCGGTACTGAAAGATGGACATGCTTTAAAAGGCACTTAAAGTAATTTCTCGAGAGTAAATGCTACATTGTCCGTGGAGTTCTCGCTTTGGGTTGAATTTGAAATTGAAATTCTTTGAGACAGATAGTCCCAAAGTGCTTCGGTTTATCGCGAGGATATAATTATTGAATGGCAACGTTTTATCTAGAACGTTGTCCCAATGTCTAATACGACCCGTGATCGATAACAAGACTGAATGTTACGTTCAGAGTGTCATTGTTAGAGAGGTTAAAAGGTTGTCGAGTGCGGCAGACTAAGTGACAAGCCACGCTCGGCTCTCGACCAATCAGAAGCCAGCTCTCGACCTCTCCGCCAATCAGAGCGTAGCTGACTCAGCGCGGCTCTTCATCCTCAACAGCACTCAAGTCTCGGCACCGCAATCTTGCAGATTTCGATGACTTTGCTGCACTAGTGAGGTGCACTTACATTACTGCAGGATCTCTTACAATTTTAGTAGACTGTGAAGTAATTCTCGGTTTACATCTCTACATTTTTAAATTAAGACTTAATGACAACAGTAAGTAAATTTAACAACCTGCCAACTTATTGGAGTTGACAAAACGAAAACTATGTAGTTATGTACAAGAAAAACAAATATATATCTGTTAAAGTTTCGTATGTGTATACTATGATGAATAATATATATTTTTTTATTTTACACTTACCATTCTCGATGTAGTACGAGGTCTCGTTGTAGCGGTCGTCGGTAAAACCTGGCCTCTTGGCCTTCAAGGCTTTCGTCTCCAACTTGGCCTGTAACAAACAATCTCTAATAATATACCATAATGAGCTAAGCCACGTAAAGCTTAGAGAAAACTGCCACAAATATAAATTAAGAAAGACCAACCAAATTTCGATATACAACAACATGCATTGACAAACACTAGTAAAATACCTTCATTTTAAGGTGTGCCTTCCTGATTACTTAACAATATTATTCTAGAAGTTAAATACATTTTTTTTGCCATTGTAATCTTTGGTAGTCAAGATGGTGACCGGTTTCGATACTCAATGTGTCATTGTCAAGGCTTAAGACGTGCTGTCGCTTCAAGGAGGTCGTCACAATGTCTTTAAAACATGGACACGATACACGAACGAACATTGTAACGAATAAATAACACAGTATGCCCATACAAGAACACTTATCACGGTTCAAGGTGTATTTATCAGAAGACAATAACAGTAAAATGCCCCAAATCGTGGGATTCAAAATCTTCGATGCTCTCCCAGAACATAATGATAAAATATCTGAAAACCTTTTCAAAAACATTCGAAGAATATTACATCCAAAGAACTTACTATAAAATAGATGAATTCTTCGGAGCACACTGCTCATTCAAGGATTTAGTCCATAGCCTGGCCTAACCTAGCTTACGGACGGTTGGTCTTCGGTTCATCGCTACTTTTATCTAATTATAAAAGTCAAATCAAACAAATACTACCCAATAAATGTCGCTTTTCTCCTAAATAGTTTCCACCAAACAAATCACTATGTAGATTTGTCTAAAATAAAATGACCAACACGATTTTCAACAAACAATGACCTTCACATAGTTTTAAAAGCTCTACAACTCAAGATCCGCACGTCTGTAAATCTGTCAGTGTCTACTTTCAACAGAGATAATCTCAGTATATCACCCAGCACAATGGGGCTGTTGAGACACTTGGAGGGTTTCACAGCTGAGTAGACGAGCGGAGCAGGTGGGGCACAAACTGACACCATTGTGTCTAGCCAAGAGATCGCTACGTCGTGAAATCTGTTGAAACATCTCCCTGACAGGACAATAGACAACAAGCAGCCCAGACAGAATTAGACCATTTATATAAACTAGTGAGGTTTAACCCTGGAATGACTGAAAGATTTGCTAAAATGCGAGCACATTTTGCATAGTTATTTTGTAAGATGAATAGAATATATTATTTTAGAGAAAGTTATACCATATTGTATATAATTTGTTTCAGTAAGGAACAGAGTGTATTATTATTTTATTTGTAGGGTAATAAAACTTAACCACAACTTATGACCTATTTCTTTAGGTTGTACCAAAGCTTTTCACTCTGTATACATTTTTAAGGGTCATATACAAATACACCATAAATGGTGTATAAATATAGCTCTATACATTTTACAGGAAATCTTATCTACTTTTTGGAAGTAGTAAATAAATAATAATTAGTGTTTGTTATACATTTCCCACAAAAATATGTTTTTATTTTGTTTAGTTTAGTACAATATGTTCTTTAAATATGTTAAACAATAAGTAAATGTCATGCAATACAACAAAGTAACTTTTGAACATTATAAATAGCTGCTAAGCACTATCAACAACAAATATTCTTAAAAAAAAAACCATCACAAAAAACCGAATGGCAGGTCCTGAATTTTGGGCCTTTAAGTCTATAAATTGTATTCGAGTTGTTGAGTAAGTTTAACGCTAAAAGATTTTGATGAGATTCAAATTTTGTAATATATCTATCACATGGGAACAATAAGGTCATGATTTCGTCCTTAACTGTAGGCATCTTAAGGTCTTGATGTAGTGTTATATTGGTGACGTACCAAGGTGCATTAGTTATCTTTCTCAGCATGAAAGTTGAATACGATTTTCTTCTTTTATAAAATAACTCATCAGCTGACCAAGTCAGTAGACAAAGAAAACAATAATTTAATTACGTCAATAAAAAAAAATTCCAATACGGGCATAGAATAAATAAACGTACGAGCAAGATAGCAGGATGGCTAAAATCTTGAACTTTACATCTGTGCTTAATATAAGTCAATCCGTTGGTTATGAGCTTGGATATTATGTAAAATACTAGATCGCTCTCTAAGTGACTGATGGCGCTACAGGAAGGACCCTGTTCGGCTATAAAATTACCGATCGTCAGTGTAGGTTTTGACTACAAGGTTTGTATTTATTTTGTTACTATCAGCTGGCTTTTCAGTGGATGGATTTATCAATACGTAGGTTAACCTCACCTGAAGGCCCTTAGATTTGGGTTTCTATAAAGTTGGATGCACAGAGTTTCAACAGGACATGTTGTTAGGAAATGTATAGCTAGATTATAAACTTTGGTTTAAAATATTAAGCAGTTGTATTACCTTGCGAGGATTAAATAATCCTTAGTTTAAATATAATGTACGATTATTTTAAAGTGTAAGTTAATTATTCCTAAAATCTTTGCAGACTCTCTTGAAAGAACTACAGTATATCAAAAAGAAAACCGACAAACCAAAATTAATTTTGTGAATATATATAATATTATCTATTTCTGTTATTTTTATGCAATTTACCCATTAGACCATTCATTGAGTCTAAAATTTAATTCATTGTATTTGTCATGGTCGATAGCGGCTCAATTAGGCTCAACGCCCTCTCATTGGTCAAGAGGTCTGAAACTCTTCACTGATTGGTTCTCTTGAAACGCTCGGCAAACAATGGCCAATCCAACTGTTTGGAAACCTGTTAGGCCATTAAAATCATTACCACGTTAAGAGTTCTCGTGGTTCTAGTGATTTTAATTGATCATTGTACATACGTAATACATTATCTGTTAAATTTAATTATAATAGTGAAGTCATACTTCCATCTCGACTTGTTTAAATACTTTTTATATCTGGGTCATAGTGGCTTTAGATTCATTAGTACAGAGCTCAATTTATGTGTATATGAATATTTAGGTTATGAGGATTAAAGGAGACGAAAATAACTTATTTTTTAAACCGAGATACATTATGATATCAACCCATTTCAGAATAGTTAGGCGATATAATTATTTTACGTTTTCCCATAGGTATTGGTATTTTGGTGACTAAGAATAGTCAATCAATCGTTCCTCTAAGTTAGTAAGTCAATTGTAACCATGAAAGTATACAGTGTGCAGTATTTTATCAAATTTTAATGAATAATACCTCCGGAAGGAGTTTATTTCAACCAAAAAATGCTGTAGTACACTACTATTACTATTGAAGATTTTAAGTATAACTATACTAAATACCTCCACATGGACGAAATGCCACTAAGGGTTGTAACAAACTGAAATGCATAGATCTAAGAGAATAAGTGGAAATTTGTTCACACTGAAACACCAAAATCAAGAGATATGGCATAATTAATTTCCAACAAGTGATTTATTTTATTTATTTTATTTTATTTTATTTCCAACGGCAGCAGCCAATTTACAAAGATAAACATGATGGTTGAATACAACAAAATAGTTAAGCAAAATTTGATGATAAATATAAGTTAACAAAGATATAACAGGTTATAAATATCCAAAGCGTAACAACAAAAAAAAAATAAGATTAACAAACAACAATAAATACTCTAACATAGCAACAACAGAAAATAAAGATTAACAAACAACAATAAATTAATTACTAGTCTTTCCCAGAAAGAAGAAGAGAGGAGGCCTGCCGACGAACCTGCTGAAGTCCATCGAAAAACAGGTCACACCCAGACGCAACTTGATTTCCCAGGCGAGTAAACCTTGCGAAAGGACTGTTGAAGTCGAAGTTGGTTGAGTGGTATCTTCGACCCAGCAGATCTCGAGATCTTGTGTTTGTAGGCACTCTGAGGTCGATTTCAGCTAGGAGATCTGGACAGTTCATGTGACCATTGACTATCTTCCAGAGAAGAATAACATCAGCCACGTCACGTCGCAGGGCAAGAGGTGACAAGTTCAGATTGCTGGACAGTTCCTCCACAGGCACATCAAGATAGGCAAAACCCAGCCGGACACCAACCAAACGAAGAAAACGCCTTTGTAGAGCCTCCAGTCTCGTCCTATTGCCAACAGTGTAAGGCGACCACACGGGACTTGCATATTCCACTAGCTGTCTCACAAGGGAACAATACAGAGAGCGAAGAGCAGAAGGGTTGTCGATGCCTCTGGAGAATCTTGCTATGAAACCAAGCATCTTGTTTGCTTTGTTACTGATGTGATCTATATGCCCAGAAAATCCCATGTCGCTGGAAAAAATAACGCCTAGGTCTTTTATACACTGGGACCGTGGAATGGATGTACCAGAAATGGAGTATACGTACATGACTGGGGATTTGATGCGGTGATAGGTTATACAAGAGCACTTACTGGGATTTACAGACATGTTATTCCTGACACACCAATCCTCAATTTCAGAAAGGCTATTTCTTTATTGATTGAAACCGCAATATCAAGAAATATACATAAATTTCTTATCAGAAGGCTGAGTAGACCATAAAAATTACTATCAAGGGATAATATGATAAACAAGAGATGTAATAAAGAGAAATCCCACAATCAAAACAAAATATGAATTACCACTATCAAGGAAGATAATATACCAAAAGACCAAGGTTATAAAAGATAAATCTTGCCCTGCGTCTGAGTCCGTCCATGACCCTTTGAACAAGTTCTTCCTCCAACAGGTAAAAAATCTCCGGGCATTCTTACAACGGAGGAACAACTAGATCTATTTTGACTTGTCTAGTCGTTACCAAACGGAAACAGATTCTATTTCAGGTGACAGCGTTCGTCACTGTCACAGGATAAATCTGTTTACTCAGCTTCAGTTGATGGCAGATGGGCCGTGGACCACACATATTCCATTACAAGAGTCGTACAACAAGTGGTGGCTGGTGGCCAGAACACGACAATAGAATATCGCGACCTGGTTGACTCGCTCACCAGTTGGCTCGGGGGGTTTTCTTTGGCAAAAGGGTGATTACTGTTTTTACGTAAACCAAGTTAGTTTTTTTTACTAGAATCCA